GAGAGAGAGAGAGAGAGAGAGAGAGAGAGAGAGAGAGAGAGAGAGGGGGGGGGGGGGGGGGGGGGGGGGGGGGGGGGGAGAGATTCCCCGTCCACATCGTCTGATCTTCTCCCAGAGAGAGAGAAAGAAGAGAAGAGAAGGGGAGAGAGAGGGGGAGAGAGAGAAAGAGTAAACAGAACATCCCCCGTCGTCAATTGGCTGTGTCCTGGCAAGCACAAAACATGTCGGTCCCACAGAGAGTCACTTCAAGCGCTTCCACGAAAAGATCTTTCCAGAACCCGAGCACAAAAAAAAAAAAAAAAAAGGTGAGACGGCCCACATTGCGACGAAAATGAAAGGAGAACTAAAAGCCAGCGAATCTGAAAACTAAAAGCCGATGAATCGACACGGGACTCGCGAGTACGCCTCCGGTTCCCCCGCGGTTTCTCTCGGGCCCACGGGGGGGCATGACGCTGGGCCCTTTGTATCTTTTAAGAGTATAGGGATAGGGAAGTTTTTCATCACAAATATTTTGGATTTGCTGTGGCTACAGTTGTTCAACTATTATTGCATATTGCTGTACTAATGAAAGTTTGACACAAAACTGACAAATGTTAAATTATGTTTAGGACCTTAAGGTAATTTTATGACTTGTTTTGTGTGTGTCTCTCTTTTGGAATGTAGGCGCGAGGAGAGGGTGGAAGGGATCCAATGGCACCTCGATTGGCATGGCGGCGGAGATTGAATGCGGACTTGAGAATTCCAAAGGAATTCAGTCTGACAATGAGCCATATATGGAGTATGGTCAGATTGGAGGCTTACCCTGCCACATGCCTGCTCATACAGCACTTTTTTTTTTTTTGCCAATTTGCCACACATTGCTCTTCGTTGCCTTAGCAGTTCACAATGTATTGAAGAATATGAATATTCAATATAGCCATTGATGGATCATTGCCTTTCTTTTGGTCTTTTTTTTTGACTCTTTATTATTTTAATTTAATAATATTTTATTATTTATCTTGTTGGTCTTTATTATTTAATTATTTATTATTTATCTTGTCACTTGTTGGTTGTGGATATTTGTCTCCTCTTGACTCTCTGTCATTTGTCCTTGTCATAATTTGACATCTGTCTATTCAACTCGGTTGTATCTGTTTATTGAACTTGAAATTGCAGTTCAATATTTATTCTCGCTCTGTTCTTGTCTGTCTGTCTGTCATTTTCTCACATCCTCACCTTTTCTCTCCTCTTCTGACGTTCATTTTTTTTGCCGGTTTTGCTTCCATTTGCTCCGCGCGTCTCGTCGTTCCACTCTGACATAGTCCCCCCCCCCTCCCTCAAAAGCCAATAGCACAGCAAGTCTTTGTAGCTTACAGGTTGCTGATCAATATTTTTTGTTTTGTTTCACCCTCCCCCCCAAAAAAAGCCAAATAGCTCAGCAGCTCTATGTAAGCAAGTCTATATTTTTTTTGGTTCTTGCCGTCTCTTTCATCCACTGGTTTCCTCGACTTTCCTGCCAATTGTTGTTGTTGTTGTTGTCCTCGTTTTGTTTTATTTTTTTTGTCGTTTTCCCATGCAGTGTTTCTGATTTGCATCTGTCCATAGGGGGGGGGAGGGAGGAGCTATCGATGGTAGATCAATATGACCTGCGGTTCTGGAAATTAGTATAGCATGACATGACCGCTGCCAAATCATGGGGTAGTTGCTGAATTTCTGCGCGAAGAAATGGTGTTCTGTTTTCAGGTGGTACTTTGATTTACTCGTTAACTTTTTTTGCCCGTTGTTCAGTCTGCAATCAGACTCGACGTATTCACACTTTACATGCACGTGAACAGCAGAATAGCAAACTGGCACCATGCGCCCACACAGAACTCAGAGATATGGCTTCCAAGTAACAGTTCGCTTCCACTGGCTGTGGCGACTGTGCGCCTCACACAAACTCACTGTTCACACTCCGGATCACCCTGGATGTCCCACACACGATACTCAGTATACACACGCAGTACACACACTCTTCCCTGGATGTCCCACACGCGATACTCAGTATACACACGCAGTACACACACTCTTCCCCTATACTACAGCTATGGCGGCTATGGCCGCTGCTACCCTACTGCTATGGCTACAGTGTGTCACTCTCGCCCTCTTCGTCTTCGGGCCCTCTGCAGACCTCCTCGCACAAGCTGCTGAGGCAGCGCTTCCGCAGGGCATCCGCAGGAATGAATGAATGGCTGGACGCAGCCTCTTGATTTATACTTCTGCGCTGCGTTGGTCTGCCCTGTGTCCCTTGGCCCGGGTGCACACAGTCCCAGACGGTACTTGCTGGACAGGACCGGACTGCCTAACTGGGACTGTTGACTCAGCG